CCATCATAATCAGCATCAGCATCATCACCTTCATTATCAGCACCATCAACAATCACCACCACCACAACCACCACTACCATCATCATCATCATCATCATCATCATCATCATCATCATCATCATCATCATCATCATCTTCATCATCATCATCATCATCACCACCATCATCATCACCATCACCATCACCATCGCCATCGCCATCGCCATCATCATCATCAGCATCAGCATCATCATCATCAGCAGCATCATCATGATCACCATGATCATCATCATCCGCATCATCAGCATCCTCATCATCATGCCTTTCTTGCCCCCGGGCCCGCGCGAGACTCTCGTTGAAGTGCGAGGTGCCTGCTTTCCTCTCCCGCAGCCCGCAGCTTCCTCTCATTGAAATACGAGGCCTGGAGAGTAGAGGGTGTGTGCGTGTGTGTGTGTGGCAGTTCGCTGGGTCTCGGTTTTGTCCTGGGGCTTCCCCCCTGGCGGTTCCCCTTGCGTGCTCCCCTGCTGCTGATGCTGCTTCTTCGCTGTTGCGGCCGCGTGACCCCCCCCCTCCCAGACCCCCGACGCCGCGATTCTTGCACAACGCCGACCCCCAGAGGTCTGGACCCTTTCCACGGGACCAGTGTTTCGTCCCGAGTCCTTCCCTGACGGCCCCCAGGGCCGATAAAGGGCCCCCCGAGGCCCAAAGTGGCGCAAAGCCTCCCGCCGTGATGCTTTGTTCACCGCGCGAGGGGGTCTGGGTCCCCTGCGTGCCCCTCCTGCTGCTGCTGCTTTTCGCCGTGCCTCCGCGGCTGCCTCGTGGTGGTGGCTCTGTTGGCTGGGGGCCGCTGCCCGGCCTCGGAGGCCTGGCTGAGCGCCTCGCGCCCTGCCGCCTGTGGGCCAGGGCAGCGCACGTGGCCGAGAATTCAAGAGTGCCCTGCCGCCCTGGCTGCCCCTCCTCCCCCGCTTCCCGTTGTGTGCTCCATCCCCGCTCTCTCTTTCTTTCCCTGCGTCTTTCTTTCTGAATGGATGTCCCCCTCTCTCTCTCTTTCTCTCTTCTTGTTTTGTTTGTTCTCCCCCTTTTCTCTCTCTCGTGTGCACGGGCGATGGACTCAGGACTATTGCGAGTGCGCCTGCAGTGAAAAAACGAGTCATTCCCCTCCTCTTCTTCCTCCTCCTCCTGATCCTCCCTAATCCTTTTCCTCTTCCTCGTTCCTCGTTCATCCTCCGCCTCCTCGTTCCTCCTCCCTCCTCCTCCCCTTCCTCTTCCTCCCCCTTCTTTCCGCTTCCGCCTCCTCCTTCTCTTTCCTTCGCCTCCTCGTCCTCCTCCTCCTTCTCCCTGCTCCTCCTTCTCCTCCTCTTCCGCATCCCTCCTCTTTCCTGATCCTCCTCCTCCTCCTTCCCCTCCAGGTTCCTTCTCCCCCTCCTCTTCCTCCCGTTTCCTCCTCCTCCTCCTCCTCCTCCTCCTCCTCCTCCTCCTCCTCCTCCTCCTCTTCGTGTCTCCTCTTCCGTGTTCGTGTTTCAGCGCTCCTGGAAGTTTACTGGATCCTGGTCTGCACTCGACTGCAATTAGAGAATCGGCAAAACAGATCGTGCTAGCGCCATCCAGTCCGAGCGTTGTGCTTTGAGCGCTGATTGCTGGGATCCCCGCTCGGGGCTTGATAGGCCATGGCGCTGGCGAGCTGGCGAGGTGCGGAGAGGAGGAGGACACAGCGGGGGAAAAGGGGCACAGGAAGAGAGGAAGGAGAGGGAGAGATGATATAAAGCCTCACGAGGCTTTCATTGTCGGCACTTCTTCTGAAAATCCCCTCGACATGACGGCCTGGAGCTTTTCAAGGCAAAGTGCCCGGGGACCCTCGAATCGGCAAAAGCGACGCCAATCAGAACAAAAAAACCAAAGACAGGCACGAATGTATACACTTCATTGTTACCGGGTGAGGGGAGGGGCCCAGGAGGGGGAGGAGGAGGGGAGGGAGACTGAAGGGCATTGCCTTGCCTCCGAGCCCTGGCACCTCACCAGCCCAAGGAATTCTCAAAATATTCTGCAAGAGGTGTTTGTGAACAACGTGCGCGGGGGCACAGTCACCCAGGAGACCAACAAACGCGAAACAAACGGTTGATTCGTGCGATCCCATTTGGAAGAAAAGGGGGAATCTGTCGTAACGGCGGCGCGCCCCGACACCTGGCAAGCACTGTACGACTCGTATGGACCCCTCGGATGATCGGGGAAGCCCGTCGTAACGGAGGCGTGCCTTGCGCCCAACCAGCCGCTGTACGACGCACGGGCTCCATCCGGAAGCTATGGGCAACTCGTCGTGACGGCGGGCGCGCCCCGAGGTCGGGCTGCCTCTGTGCCCGGGCACGAGGAGGAGGGAATCGCGGGGGAAAGGGGCACACGAAGAGAGGAAGGAGAGGAAGGGAGACCGACGCGACGCTCCCAGAGACACAAGAGTAACCGATTGGGCGATTCGCCCCGGCGAAACTCCTGCATCGAAGCCGCCCTTCGCGCGGCGGCCAGGGGGGCGACGAGTCTATCAATCTCTTTCGACCTCCTCTTCCTCGTTCCTCCTCCTTTTCCTCCTCCTGATCCTCCTCCTCCTCCTCCTCCTCCTCCTCCTCCTCATCATCATTATCATCATCATCATCATCATCATCATCATCATCATCATCATCATCATCATTATCATTATCATTATCGTTATCATTATCATTATCATTATCATTATCGTCATCATGCTCATCGCCATCATCCTCATCCTCCTCCTCATCATCAACTTTATCAGCATCAACATCATGAGCATCAGCATCAGCATCATCATCACCTTCATCATCAGCATCATCATCACCATCATATCATCATCATCATCATCATCATCATCATCATCATCAGCATCATCATCATCATCATCATCATCATCATCATCATCATCATCATCACCATCACATTATCATATTTCTCTTCCTCTTCCCTCTTCCTCTTCATCTTCTTCCTTATTTTCTTCCTACTCGTTCCTCCTCTTCTGCGTGTGTCCTCCCTGCTCCTTTTCTTCCTCCTTCTCCTCCTCCGCCTCCTTCTCCCTGCTCCTCCTCCTCCTCCGCCTCCTTCTCCTCCGTCTCTTCGGGCCACCAGGCGTCGGACATCGGGGTTGGGGCCCGAAGTCTTCCCATCCTCGCAGCCACAGCTTGAGTCAACCCCGTTGGTAGGAGCAGCATCGGGCGCTCGATGCTGTCCCTTGGAAAAACTGCTCCAGGAGGAGAAGGAGGAGGAGGAGGAGGAGGAGGAGGAGGAGGAGGAGAAACGAGGATGAGGAACGAGGAGGAGAACCGAGGGAGGCGGAGGAGGAGCAGGAGGAGGAGGAGGAGGAGGACGAGTAAGAGGACGAGTAAGAGGAGGAGGAGGAGGCAGAGGAGGAGGAGGAAGAGGAGGAAAAGGAGGGGGAGGAGGAGGAGGAGGAGGAGGAGGAGGTGGAGGGAGGTCGAGGGCCCCTCCCGCCCGAGGAGCTTCGCGCGCGCCTCGGCGCTGTGCGGCGTCCTCGGCCTCATGTTCGTGTACTTCAAGGGTGCGGACCGCCCAGATATCGTGGACACGACGCGGGTCCGCGCTGTGGGGTCGAAGCCCCAGGCATCCAGCGAGTTCGTCCTTTTCAGTCCAGACCTCCAACGTCGCCTTCGAGGCTCGAAGTTCGAGGTCCTCGGACGTTTGTTGGTCGGTCCCCGAGGTTTTCCAGACTCGGTGTGCTCTTCGGCAGATGCGTCTCGCCGACAGCGCTCCGGTGGTGCTCGAACCCTCCCGAACGGCCGCCGGAGGCCCGAATCGTGACCCGATAGTCGTTGGGAGCCCAGGCCAGGGCGTCCCAAACAAACCGTGAAGACTAGTTTCTAGTATTCTTCGGCCTCCCGGGGCCGCAGTCGGGCCCCATCAAACACGTACGCGATATTCAGATCCAGCTTTGTGGACAGGGCCATGACATCCGGAAGGCCCCAGGCAATCGGTGAGCCGGTTGCTCGAGAATTCGAATAGCTGACATAGCATGAACACGCATGTTCGGAGATCCGCGCGGAAGTATTGGGTCGGTGCTGAACCCTTCATGGCGGTGCCTCCGATGCCGCCCTTGGCGCGCTTCGCGCGCCAAGGCAGGGGGGCAAGTGCCGCCCAAGAAAGTCGTGTGGACCTCCGACAGTTTATGTCGGGATGCGGCAGGCAAGGGGGGTGGGGAGGCGGGCTGAGAGCCGATCAAATGATTCCTCGCACACCTCCGAAGGGTCACCAGTATGTTTTGGTGTCGCTTGTGTTGTCGTCTTCTACGGGGCTAGTTCAAGACGAGAAGAGGGGCGCCATCGTGAGCATATCCTGTTTCGCATGTTAAGACTGACGGAGGGCCCCTCCAGAGGCTCGCTCCGACTCGGTACAGACAGCTCGCATAGTAAGGATGAGCAACTTTCCAAGGCGATCCCTGCATCCTTGCCCCTTCGGCCCATCCTTGGCCGCTTCCGCTGGCCGCGCCCCGCCCGCAAAGTGTCGACATGGCCTTCCAAGGCCTTTGCATCCTCATCGCGCGTCCTTGCTGTACGGGTCGACCGTATTCGTGGTGTCGCTTGCTGCTCGCGGCTGCGCCATCCTCCTTCGCACCTCTGCGGCAGGGCCTCGGTCGGGCTGCGCACGGGCCGCCCCCCGAGGTGGCCCCGGCTGGCCCCAGCAGGCCCCCGGGATGGCCCCTCGGGCGGTGCAGCCTCGACGGCACCACGGGGGCGCGGCGCCGCCCCGAGAAGCTTTGGATGTGGAGGCCGCCCTGGGCTTTCCCCCGGGGCCCCGCCGGGGCCAGGACCAGGACCAGCTCCAGGGTGGTGGGCCGATTTCCCACCACCATTGCCACAGGCGGGAGGGGGGAGAAGGGAGGATGCGGAGGTCCTCCGCTGCGCCGCATCGCCGATGCATCGGCAAGCTCGCCGACGTCGCGGGTGCATCGCCGATGCATCGGCGGTGCGGTGCGATCCTCCGACCTCGTCTGCTTGGACCGCATTCGGGAGGCCTCTAGGGGCTGTCTGTGGGCAGACCCAGGCCCTGCCGCACTGCTGCACCAAGGCTTCGGGCAGATTGCTTCCAATCCGCACGCCCGACAGGTCTTGGCAACTTCCTTGCGGCCAGTTTTTCGTCAAGGGCCACTTTGTTATTTTCACGGGGCCCGAGCACGGCCCTTGGAAGCCGAAGTCAGGGAACGCCGTTTTGTCTCCGGCCCTGCCACTACCGCTGCCTTCCCCCCGCAGCGCTCGCGCTCGTGGGCCCTGGCTGGGGGCGTTCTTTGGCTCCGCGTGGGTGCCAGCGCAGCCCCTTGGGCGAAGGACGCGCGGTCTGCGTCTCTAACTCTTCCGGAGGGGCGGCCTGCAGCTTGATGGCCCTGGCTGTTGCCGATGCTTTGGTTCTCCTGGTTTCGTGCTGTCCTAATGACGCCCGCACTGGGGCAGGTCTGGGAACGACTGGGATCAGTGAGGAGCAGAAGAGGCTCAGGGCAACCAGACCGTAGCGTCGTCTGCCACACAACCCGTGCCAGAGGAGCCATTCGTGGTACGGTCTTGCGCTAGAATGTGAACAAGCGCATGCAAACATAGAATACGTCTACACACGGAGGCGCCATGTGCCCCAGAAGTCCGGCAGTGTGTCGTTCCTGCTCCGCGGCCCCAGAGGTCCCGATCCTTTCCCCCGGGGGCAGTTTTCCATCCCGCAGGCTCATTTTCGACGGCACCAGGGCCCAGAAACCGCCGCCAGGAGGCCGAACCTGCGGAAAAACGCCGCGACTGAAACAAGTAATCGCCGGATGTCTGGGGAAGGAGGAGGAGGAGGAGGAGGAGGAGGAGGAGGAGGAGGAGGAGGAGGATTGATGGAAGGGGGAAAGGGTGTGAGACTGTGTGGCTTCATTCCAGGATCTGCATGGTTATCGGGTCATACATCGGGCCTCTGGCGGCCGTTCGAAACGATTCGCACACCATCAGAACGCTCTCGGCAACGTCCGCAAAGCGCAGCTCCTGGAAAGCATCCGGGGTTTGGAAAACCTCGGAGACCGACGAAAGCGCCCGAAAACCTCGAACTTCGAACCTCGAGATTCCTCTCGCTTCGCGGGGTGCACGTCTGGACCACGTACAGTCCAGTCGTTGCGGAGCCTCATGGGAGCTTCTTTGTGGCCTCTTGGAGGTGTCTTGGGTGGGGGCTTCTTGGAGCCTCTTGGGGGCGTCTTGGGCCGTCTTGGGGCGCTCGTGCTGCGTGTGGCCCATTCGGAGGCCGTCCTGGGGGCCCCTCGCTGCCGTTCCAGGGTTTTCTTGGGGTCCTCTTGAGTTGGGCCGTCTTAGGGTTCGCTTGGGCCATCGTGGAGGCCTTCAGGGCTTCCTGGGCCGTCTTGGGGCCATTTTGGAGGCTGGTTGGGCCGTCATGGGCTTCTGAGAGTCGACAAAGGCGTGAACGCTAAGTAAGGTTCTTCAAAACCGGAATATCGATGGTTTCGGCCTCCGGAGGCGCTCTTGGAGGTCCTCTTAAGGCCGTCTTGGGCCGTCTTGGGTGTTTTCTTGGTCCTCTTGGGGCCATCTTGGACCGTCTTGGGGCCGTCTTCGCTTGTATTGAGGCCATTTTGAGCCGTCTTCACGGCCTCTTAGGCCCGCAACAAGACCAGGAGGCCCAAGTCTCATTGATTTTCACTGTTGTGTTTACTTGTATGGGTCCAGAAGAGGTCCGCCATTCTTGGGTCGATGGATGTGGGGTGGCCTCGGGGTGGTGGTGAAGGGAGGAGACATACTGATGTATCACAAAACGATATGTATCAATTACGAAATCAGTGGATACATGGGATACGTTGCATGTTGGTGGCGTGTCAGAAATGTTATAGCCTGGCGCTCTTAAAAGAGCGGCGGATTTGGCAGCGCTCCCGCGCATTTCCACGAAGGCAGCAGATCCAGATTCTCTTGAGCACGCGCAGTGAAGTCTTTGTCGGGCCTACTGGGGTGTGTTGGGCGCCTCTGAGGCCCTCTTTGGGGCTTCTTTGGGGCCTCTTGAGGCTTCTTGAGCGCCTTTTGGGCTATCTTGGGGCGCTCTTGCGCCGTCTGGCCTCTGCGAAGGCCGTTTTGGGGGACTCTCGGGGGGCCTTTGGGGCCGTCTTGGGGGCCTTTTGCGCTTCGTGGGCCGTGTAGAGGCCCTCTTGGGAGCGTCGTGGGCCGTTTTGGAGCCACCTTGGAAGCAGTTTCGGCCGCCATGGCCCCCCCCGAGAGTGCAGAAGGCGCAAGCGCGAAAAATCAACGAAAACCAATGCAAAAATCAATATGTTTGGCCTTCGGAGGCGTTTTTGAGCGTCCTTTTGGAGCCCCCTTGGGCCATCATGGGGGCTTCTAAGGCCCTCCTGAGGCCATCTTGGGCCGTCTTGAGCCGTGTTGAGAGCATCTTTAGCCGTCTTGAGACCGTCTTGGCCCCTCAGGAGGCCCAAGGTGCCGAAATCATAGATGTCCTTCAGGTTTTGGACAGTTTTTGTATTAGACGTGGACATGGGTCGGCACCCCGGCGGCGGCCCTGGGGGGGGGATGAAGGGGGGCTGCTTTGCAATGTATAAGAATGCGATGTTTTGCAATTGCCCTATCTACGTATCGTGGCTGGGCCCTGGCGTCACACACCCGTCCTGTCGGACTAAGACGCTTCGCTGCGGTCCGGACGTGGATTTTAGGCTTCCGCCGCACCCGCGACTCCTTGGGCGACTTGCGCTTGTTGCGTGTTGCTCCTGAGGGCCTCTTGGGCGCCCTGTGGGGCCCTCTTGGAGGGCGACCTCTCGAGGGCCAGGAGGATGCAATTCGAAGCCTCACGGAGATCGTTTGACATTTTCTTGAAACCTCGTTTCGGCCCACGAGGGGGGGCTTCTTGGAAGGAGTCTTGGAGGCTCTAGGAAACTTGACGGTGGCCTCTCGGCGCTTCTTGGGAGCCTCCTGGCCTGAAAGAAGGTTTCAATAGCAGAAAAGGTGGGAATCCGAAGCACGTTCAAAACCCGTGGGACATTAACGGAGTTGGCCTCTGGAGGCCCTCTTGGGACGCTGTTTGGGGCTCTCGTCGAGTGTGTTCGGGGCTTCTGGCCCGTTTTGGAGCAGTCGTGAGCGCCGTGCAGCGAGATTTGGGGCGTTTCGGGGCTCTTGGACAGCTTACCGCGTGCCTGCGAATGATTCCCCCCGGGGCCCTTGGCAATGGCGGCACCGCCCGCATCGCCGGTAATGATTTGCTTCTGGCGGCCCTCTTGGGGCGCCTCTTGGGGGCTTCTTGGGGCGTCTTGGGGGCCTCCTGGGCCGTCTGGAGGCCAGCGTGGGCGTTTTGGATCGATCTTTCTGCGACTCGTGGCCCTCTTGGATCGTCCTGGGGGCCTCTTGGGGCCCTCTTGGTCCGTTTTGGGGCTCAGCTGTGCCCCGGGGGACCCCCCCCCTCCCAATCCACCGGACCGGGCTCCCAAGGGAGGGCCTTTGGGGATGGGCAAGCATCTCACACGCCGATGAACCCTCAGAGGTGGGCGGATTGCTTTTTGTGCACGTTGGCTGCCGGGTCAACGCAGGTCGGCGGGGTCGACAACTGGCTGGTGCTCCTCTTTGCCGCCGTCGGCGTCCTGCACCTCTTCCTGCAGGCCTCCGTCCCCGCCCTGTGCGGCATAAACATGGAGGTGGTCCACGAGGACAGGCCGCGTGCTGCACGGTGAAGTATCGGACGGGGCTAGCATCTAGGCCTCCGAGATGGGGTCCGAGTAGATGGGGTCGGAGGATCGCGCCGCATCGCCGATGCATCGGCGATGCGGCTCGATGTGGAGTCCGATTTTCTCCACGCCGCGCCGATACATCGCCGAGGTCGCTGGCGCATCGCCAATGCATCGGCGATGCATCGCCGATGCATCGGCGATGCGGTGGGATCCTCCGACCCCATCTTCTCGGACCCCATCTAGGAGGCCTGTATATGACGATGATGGGTCCGTTCCAGAGCGTTCCGGAACGCTCTCAGAGCGTTCTGGAAAACGCTCTGAGAAGGCCGCGGCGCCCGAGACATCCTCCAGAACCACCGGGTCTCAGGGATTTTCGATTTATACTCATCCGATGTTATCTTCGTCGTGGCTTGTGTTATACAGGTGTATCTCGGGTAGTAGCAGATTTGAGTTTCAAATTCAGCAGCCAAAAGGCACCACATGCGAGTATGACGGCCATACCCACGGTTCGTCGAATCGCTTGAACAAGCTAGCTATACCAGCCCCGGTATCTGGCAATGACTGGGGCAATTTTAGCCTCCTCCTCCTCCTCCTCCTCCTCCTCCTCCTCCTCCTCCTCCTCCCCCTCCCCCTCCTCCTCCTTCTCCTCCTCCCCCTCCTCCTCCTCCTCCTCCTCCTCCTCCTCCTCCCGTTCCTCCTCCGATCAATCGTCTGTTCGGCGCTGTCGCGGCGGGGTTCCTTCTCAATTTCATTGGGGTGCTTTCTTGTTCGTGCTGCTCGAGGCGGGCCTCGTCGTGTATTCCCTCGTATATGGCGATGATGTTTCTGCGGGTGGCCTTCTACCTCGCCGGGGTGTTCGTCCTCGTCATGGTGGTGGCGCCCGCAGAGTTTGAGAGGTGTTGGCGTTGAGCTCAAAAAAAGCCTCCTCCTCCTCCTCCTCCTTCCCCTCCTCCTCCGAGGCTCCTCCTCCTCCTCCTCCTTATCCTCCTCCTCCTCCTCCTCCTCCTCCTCCTCAAGCTCTGGGAAACGGTGTTCATCCCCCCGGGTCGGACGAAAAGGGGCGCACCCCCCCCAGGCAAGGCGACATGCCGCCCGGAGCGGCGAGAAAACTCTCGGCGATGTCTCGGCCTCGGGATGGCCTCTAGCAGCTGCGCCTCGCCGAAAGCGTTCGCGACGCCAGGAGGAGGAAGAGGAGGAGGAGGAGGAGGAGAAGGAGGAGGAGGAGGAGGAGAAGGCGGAGGAGGAGGAGGAGGAGGAGAAGGAGGAGGACGGGGCGAGGAGGAGGGGGAGGAGGAAGGGACTACGAGGAGTGAGAAGAAGGAGAGGATGCCCGAAAGCCAGGCGACGCGGAGCACGCGGGGCGCATCTTCGCCGTCGACTTCGTGGACGACGCACTGTTTGTTTCAGGCCGCTTGGACCATGAGGTTGGAATGCAGGACGTATTTACCATTTCTACAGAGCTCTTTGGATCTGCCAGGGCCCCGCCGCCTTGCGATAGCGGATGGGCCGGCACGCCGAAAAGCGTATATAGGCCGGTACAGCGCCAGCTTCGACGCCGGCTTGGACTCCTACGCCAGCTCCGACGCCGGCTTTGACGCCTGCCATTCGGGAGCTCACCAACTCCCGCGCCGACTAGCTCACCGACTCCCACACCGACCAGTTCGCCGACTCCCGCGCCGAGTGGCTCGCCGACTTTCGAGCCGACCAGCTCGCCGACCCCCGTGCCGAGTGGCTCGCCGACTCCGGCGTCGACCAGTTCGCTGACTCCTGCATCGACCGGCTGGGCGGCTCCCGCACCGACCAGCTCACCGACCCCCGCGCCGACCACCACACCATCTCCGAACCGGTGTCGAGGACTCCCGTAGCGACCAGCGCACCAGAATGTGCCACCCTGGGCGTTTCCCAAAAACGAGGCCGCCAGGGATTCAGCGACACGCCGCTCACCGACTCCCACACCGACGCTCACCGACTCCCACACCGACCAGCTTGGCGGGCCCCGCGCCGACCAGCTCACCAACTCCAGCGCCGACTAGCTCGCCGACTCCCGCGCCGACCAGCTCACCGACTCCTGCACCGACCAGCTCATCGACTCCGGCATCGACTAGCTCGCCGGCTCCCGAGCCGACCAATTCGCCGACTCTCGCACCGAAGGGCTGGCCGACTCCCGCGCCGACCAGCTTGGTGGCTCCCGCATCGACCAGCTCACCGACCCCCGCGCCGACCAGCTCGTCGACTCCCGCGCCGACCAGCTCACCGACTCCCTCGCCGACCAGTTCGCCGACTCCCGCGCCGAGTGGCTCGCCGACTTTCGAGCCGACCAGCTCGCCGACCCCCGCGCCGAGATTCTCGCCGACTTCCGCGCCAACCAGTTCGCTGACTCCTGCAATCACCAGCTTGGCGCTCCCGCGCCGTGCAGGACCGTCTGGCTCGTTCCACTCGAGGCGCCAGGGAAGTACGACGTTGTGGAGCTCGGCGGGGAGGAGTGAACCAGTGAGCGCTGTCGGCCAGTATTCCAACCTATTCTCCCGATCCTTTCCCCTCCCTGCTCCTCCTCCTGTGCACGTGCTCCGTCAATTGGCTTGCAGCGCCGTTTGCATGTGGGGCCCTGCCGGCTCGCACTCGTCCGCTCGACCCAGTACGCCGCCCCCGCTGGGTGCCGCACACTGGCTTGGGCGGTCACTGCTCTTCGGCGGTCCGGTCCGGCGATGGGCGCCGGGGCCTTCAGTGAATATATTCTATGCTCGCCCTGCATTTCCTTCCTGCGCTGCGTCACTGTCTCCTTGGTCCCTTCCTCCTCCTCCTCCTCCTCCTCCTCCTCCCCCTCCTCCTCCTCCTCCTCCTCCTCCTCCTCCTCCTCCTCCTCCTCCTCCTCCTGCGCATGGGCACGTGTCTTTCAAGCTGTGGTGGCCCTTGCTACCGTGCTTCCTTCTATTTTTCACTAGCATCCTGCACTAGCCAGCGGTTCCTTGCCTCCCGTCCCCTGCTGCTGCTCCCTCCCCGCTCTGCCGGCCCTCCTCTTTCTGCTTTTGCTGCTGCTGTCCACCGCGTGGCGATGTGCTTCTGTCGCTGCACCAGAGCCATTGGTACGTGCAGGATGGGCGCGGGAATCTGCAGCCCACCTCAGCGTTTTTTTTGTCGGTGCGGTGCGTCTGGGGAGGCGATCAGTGCTTCCATGGACAAAAAAAACGATTCCAGCCCGATGTTCCCCCCCCCCCCCGAGCTGGCATTGGTCCCCCCCTAGCGCTGCCCCTCGGAAGGTGCCACGCGCGGCTGTCCCGCCGCCCCGTCTGCGGCCGCGTCCCGTCGTGACGCCTGCGTGTGCCTGTCTCTCGCTCGTGTCGTGATCGTACCGGTCGTGCGCGCCATCGGAGGCAATCTCAGCACATCGCACCGGCCTCGTCACTGTGCTGCTGGACGTCGCAACTGTCGCCAGCTTGGCCCACATCGTGAAGAAGCATCACGCGCGGCCGATTTCCGAGGGCCGAGGGCTGGGACACCATCCTGCGCCCCCCTCGCTCGGGCCTCTGTGTCCGCCACTCCTCACGGACATCAGGCTGCCTGGCTGCTCCAGTTTTTTCGATGTTTGGGCCCCGGAGGTCTAGTCGTCCTGGGTCGTTTCCTGACGGTCCCGAGACTCGGCGATGGCCCCCGGAGGCCGAAAACGACCAAACGCCCAGCGCTCCAATGCTTGTCGGAGCGTCGGGTAGGAGGAGGAGGAGGAGGAGGAGGAGGAGGAGGAGGAGGAGGAGGAGGAGGAGGAGGAGGAGGAGGAGGAGGAGGGTTTTGGGGTTGCGCGAATTGGCTCCCCCCCAAGAAGGCATCGAAGGGTTCCTCTCAGATCCAGGCTTTGCAACAAGAAGCACGACTCGGCCAGCTTTTCGTCGTGCTCGGCCTCTGGATTCAGAGGCGTTTTCCCCACTATTACTTTAAACGAGTCGTGGGCGGAAAAATAGTCATGATGTCCGCCTGGGCTGACGTCGGACGAGCGGAAATGCGAGCGCAGTGGCGCGCGCGGTCGCGCGCGACCCGCCGCTGGTGATGACGTGAATGCGCGGGCGTCGCGGCGACGACGACGGCGACTCCCTGGGGCCTGGAAGCAGCAGCAGCCAGGCCCCGGGGGAGTGCAAGCCGGACCCGGGAATGCCACGCTGGCCCCCGGGGGGAAGTGGTCGAGATCACCATGGGGGGCCGACCTCCCGGGCCGACGCCACGTCGGGGGGCGAGGGCTCGACGCCGCCCCAGAGCAGGTCCACACGGCCCGCAGGATGGGCTGCACAGGCTGCCCGAGGCCCCGCCCACATTGCCACAGCTCTGATCAGGACGGAGGAGAACACACGCAGACACCCATGATCGTCGACTGTCAGGAGAATTTGGAGAGTACTTGGAAATGGAGGGGAAGACGGACATCCAGGAAACGTTGAAAATATGAGGAATCCTGGTATTCTCGGCCTCCGAGATGGGGTCGGAGGATCGCGCCGCATCGCTGATGCATCGGTGGTGCATCAGTGCTGCGGCTCGATGTGGGGCCCAGTTTTCTCCACGCCGACGTCGCCGATACATCGCCGATGCATCGCCGATGCGGCGCGATCCCCCGACCGACCCCATCTAGGAGGCTTCTAAACATGGAACATCTGGGGACTCGTGGTACGTATGAACACCCAGGACCCACGGAAAATGGGGAATCCTGGGACGACGACGACGACGACGACGACGACGACGACGACGACGACGACGACGACGACTGCTTATTTGTGTACCCCGGGGTGCTTGCACGTCGGCGGCTCGCGGGGCCCCGTCTGCCCCCCCGGGTCTCCCCCGTGATTCGCGCTCCTCGGCGCGTCTCCGCTGCGGCGATCGGAGGCGATCGAGGAGGAGGAGGAGGAGGAGGAAGAGGGAGGAGGAGGAGGAGGAGGAGGAGGAGGAGGAGGAGGAGGAGGAGGAGGAGGAGGAGGAGCTGGGGCCACCAGTGCAGTCACGAGGGGGGGTGGTCGTTTAGGGACTGCTCCTCCTCCCCCTCCTTCTCCCTCCTCATTTCCCCTCCCTCCTCCCTCCTTCCTCCTCCTGCCCCCTCCTCGTCCTCCTCCTACTCCCAATCCTCTTCTCTCTCGTTCCCATCATCATCATCGTCGTCGCCATGACCACCACCACCACCACCACCGCCATCGCCATCGCCATCGCCATCGTCGTCGTCATCATCATCATCATCATCATCATCATCATCATCATCATCATCATCATCATCACCATCACCATCACCATCATCAGCATCAACATCATCATCATCATCATCAGCATCATCAGTATCATTATCATTACCATTATCATTATCATTATCATTAGAATTAGCATTATCATTCTCATTCTCATTATCATTATCATTATCATTATCAGTATCATTATCATTATCATCGTCATCATCATCATCATCACCATCACCATCACCATCACCATCATCATCATCATCATCATCATCATCATCATCATCATCACCATCACCATCATCAGCATCAGCATCATCATCATCATCAGCATCATCAGTATCATTATCATTACCATTATCATTATCATTATCATTAGCATTATCATTCTCATTATCATTATCATTATCATTCTCATTATCATTAGCATTATCATTATCATTATCATTATCATTATCACTACCATTATCATTATCATTATCATCGTCATCATTGTCATCATCATCGTCATCATCATTATCCGTAGCCATTTTGGCTCAAGACGCGCCGGCTCGGGACATTCGCCCTGCTCCGCCCGCCCTCCCTTGGCGCCAAACGCCCCGCAGAGCGGCGATGGGGCCCCCGGGCCGCCGCGGCGCCTCGCGCGCCCTGCTCGGCGTGGCCGCCCTCGGGTGCACCGCGCTCCTGCTCTGCGGCCCAGGCAGGCTGGCCTCGTTCGTGCCACCCCCGCCGGCGGCTGGCGAGGCCCCGCCGCGGCGCGCACTGCTCCTCGGCGGGGTCGCCGCTGGGGCCGCGGCGGTCTCCCAGAACGCCCTGGCCATCGAGGTGGACATCCCGGACCGCATCAAGGAGGACCCCTTCGACCTCGTCGGCGTCAACCCAGACAGCCGCAAGGAGGACGAGAAGGAGTTCTACATCAAGAAGTCGTACCGGGAGGACACGTACCAGTTGCTGAAGCACATGAAGATCTCCGGGTCGCTGGACAAGGGCACCCCGCGGATGGAAAGGTGGCAGAAGCGCATCAAGGAGGAGATGGACGACTGGCTCGCACTCTACCGCCGGCAGGAGATGTCCGTGGGCAGGCAGAGCTACTACACCCTATACTCCGCCATCAACACTATGGCATCCCACATCGTGTCCTACGGTCCGAAGTTCCCCTTCCCCAAGAAGCGCCAGCAGCGGTACTACGAGCTCCTCACGAAGGCCGAGAGGTACCTGGAGAAGGGCAAGTAGACGAGGCCTCCGCGGGGCGCGGGGCGCTCGCGGCCCTTCGCCACGGGGCGGCGCTCCCTGCGCCTCGCGCGCGCGCGCTCTGGGTGCTACTTTGGCGTCGCAGCGGCGGAGGAGAAGCCGACGCACAGTCTGTCCCAGGGAGGGCCCTTGCCTCTCCAGAGCTGGCGCGGGGAAGCTGGCCTGGATTGCTGCCTGGCCTTCTAGGCGCACAAGGTCGCCCAGAGTCATCTAGTGCGCTTTCGTTTAGCAGTGGGCCAGGGCCGCATTTTCATGCATTTTCGCCCAGCTGAAGTCTCCGAGCCAGGCAGCCCGCACTTGCAGAGCCTCTGGCAGATCATCATCATCATCATCATGATCATCATCATCATCATCATCATCATCATCATCATCATCATCATCATTATCAATATCATTATCATCATCATCATCATCATCATCATCATCATCATCATCATCATCATCATTATCATTATCAGTATCACTATCATCATCATCAGCAGCAGCAGCATCAGCATCAGCATCAGGTTCAGCATCAGCATCAGCAGCATCATCATCGTCATCATCACCGTCATCGTCATCGTCATCATCATACACCCTATGATGAAATTGATCCTCCTCATCCTCATCCTCATCATCATCATCAGCAGCATCATCATCAACAACATCACCACCATCACCACAAGCACCACCATCACAGGCACCATCACCATCACCATCGTCAGCAACAGCAACATCATCAGCACCATCATCATGATCATCAGCAGCAGCATCAACATCAGCATCAGCATCAGCATCATCATCTTTATCATCATCGTCACCGTCACCATCAACATCACCATCAGCATCACCACCACCATCACCATCACCATCATCACCATCGCCAGCACCATCACCATAATCATCATTGCCATCAGTATCATCATCGTCACCATCGTCAACAACATCATCATCAGTATCATCATCATTAGCTACAGCAGCAACAACCGCAACAACAACACACATACCGGCATCAACATCACCATCATCATGCTCCCCACGATCCTCTCTATATTTTCCTCCTCCTCCTCCTCCTCGTTCTCCTCATCCTCCTCCTTCTCTTCCTCCTCCTGGGACGAGTTGTGGGGGGTTTTCGCTTGGCCCTCCACTCGTTTTGGCTTGCAGCCATTCTAACTTGTTCGGGCGGGTGGGTCACGACGGGGAGGATGCGTGACCCGCAGTGGGGCTGCATGCTCGGCTGTGTAGGGGCCCGAGACTGCCTGTCGCATTACGGCGGTTGGTACCCTGGCTTCAATGTCGCACTCGCGCACGTTCTCCCCGTCCCGTTGGAGCGCAATCCCACAATCAGGCCCGGACTGCGAGCCTCGGAGCCCTCGCACTGGAAGCGCGTCTCGAAGAAGAAAAAACCATATAAACACAAACTTTTGGCGCTCCGCGCGGATTTTTGGGATCCGCGCCTGGGCCCCCCGGCGGCGCCTCTGGCGCCGCCCTTGGCGCGCTCCGCGCCAGGGAGGGGGTCCAGCCCGAATCCAAGAAATCCGCGCGGAGCGCCAAAAGTTTGTGTTTAGGTGCTTTTTTCTGTTTCTAGCGTCGTCACGCAGTTCCATATCCACCGGCTGCTCCACTGCGAGCGTAGTCGCCGTGGCCCGGAGCTTCGACTTAGTCGACCCCTCCGAGGCCCCCCACGATCGTCGCTGGGAGGCTCCGTGCAGCCGAGTTGCCTCCTGGGCGAGAGAGGCGGGAGCGGCGGTAAAGCGACATAGAGTCACCTGCATTCCCACGCTGTGCCTCCTCCTCCTCCTACTCCTCCTCCTCCTCCTCCGCCTCCTCCTCCTCCTCCTCCTCCTCCTCCTCCTCCTCCTCCTCCTCCTCCTCCTCCTCCTCCTCCTCCTCCGCCTCCTCCTCCTCCTCCTCCTCCTCCTCCTCCTCCTCCTCCTCCTCCTCCTCCTCCTCCTCCTCCTCCTCCTCCCTCTCACCCTCCCCCCGCCCCTCCCCCCTCGGAGGACATGCGGGCCTTCTCCTCCGGCGCGGAGATGACCCTGCGGAACATCCTCGGCCTCGCGGGCGGGCCCCTGCTGCCGTCGCTCTTCATGACCGTGGTCCGAGCTCTCCGCCCCACGCCTTCCTCCGCCTCGTCTCTCCTACTCGCCCTTCGCTCCTCCACCTTCTCGGCGAATCCGAGAGGTCGGCGCGAGGTGTTCTGCAGGAGCAGACAGTCAGGCTGTATGTTGGGAGCTATGTCTCTGCGTACCAGGAAGCCTGGCAAGTATTGTCAAGGTGTGAAGGCAAACTCAAGAAGGTCCTCCAAGGGGGCTACGGGTGTGTCTCCTGCGTCGTCTTCTGGTTCGGAGGTTTTTGGCTTCCCTGGGGCCGAGCTGAACATCGCACGCAGGACCCGGGCAACGCGTCGAGCCCAAAGGGATGGAAGAACCCCGGCTACGGTGGGGGCGTTCGTTAAGGAACGTGCCCATGTGGCTTCATACCCTGGAGGGTTCCTTATCAAGGAAGAGCGGCTGTGATATCCATGGCCAATCCACGATCGAAGTTTCACTGGCTTCGAGACCCTGGATTCCTTATCCATTGGTTTTGCGTCAGCGTCTGCTGCAGTATGTTAGGGACTCAGGCCGCTTACGGCCCTGAGTAGCCAACGGCGCTCTCAGGGGCCCTAGCCTGCATGCCTCTTTCTTTCTCTTTCTCCTCTCTCTCTTCTCTCTTTCCCTCTCCCTCTCCCTCGAATCGTTGTTCCTTCACGGTTGTGTCACCACAGTATGGTGCCCAGCCTCTAAGCGGCGAAGTGGATGTACGTGCTGCTTGTGGGCCTGCCCCATCCCCCGGAGCCCAGCGGTGGCAGGACGCTGCGCGGCAGCCCCGTACGGGCAAGTCGCTGACCGCCCCACTGAATTAGGCCTCGGTTGCATTGGGCTCTTTTTGAGGGTGGGTCTCTCAAGCTCTCCGCCGCGTCTGGCGGTGTGCGGTGCGAGCAGGAACACAGCAAAGCCACAGGAAAGCGCGGCATTGACAGTGTAGCTCCGCACACGTGACACATGTTAACAAGCAAGAACAGAGCAAAGCCCCAGGGGAGAGCGAGGCAATGACAGTGTATCTCAGAGCCCAGCGATGGCAGGACACTGCGCGGCAGCCCTGTGCGGGCAAGTCGTTGACCGCCCCACTAGATTTGGCCTCGGTTGCGTTGGGCTCATAGTCAATACACTCAGAGGCCCTTGCCTAAGCAACCGGAATGCAAGAATCAGTTTGCTGGTCCCCGTACCTTTGCGTTTGGACTTGAGGGTGCTAAGCGTTGTAAAGGCTTCCTAGGTTAAAACGCGCAGCTATGATGAAGGGTCAGAGCAAGGGGATGGGTATCGCTTCGGTCGGGCCAATCATGGTATCGCTAGCCATGATGCTAAGTTGGCGCTGGCTCGGCATCCCTGGGCGGATCTTCCTTGTTCACGGCTATCGGCATAGCTGAAAACAGGGCCGAAGTTTTCTTTCAGTTTGCTTGTGTGGTGCTCCCCCTCTTTCGGAAGAATGCGAGATGGAGACATGGACCACCCTCTTTCCGAGCACCCAGAGCAACGCAACACTGGCACGTATGGAAGCAGACCGATTTAGGGATGCAGTGTGTGCACTGTCCTATTACCTGTGACTCGTCGACGAAACCACCTGAAGGGGTGCCAAGGCACACCCCCAACGATATCCCCGTTGCTCGCTGATCCTAGGGGCCAGGTTCTCATCGCTTTGCCGAGTGCGGCTCTGAAGACGGTTTGCGGTGTTTCAGTGCGGTTTGGGTGGGGCTCGGGTAGCACAAAAGTGAAAGAGCAAAAGGTTCTCCGCCATGGATGCGGAAGTTGGTTGCAGGGGAGGGTCGCCAAGTTTGCCCGAAAGTGCGAGAAGCCGACCAGGAAGGTGCTTGAGGTGCTGAGCGCGTTCCGTCGGGGATGAGGGCCCGTCCCTCGGATGAGGGAGTTGTGCGACAAGGCCGTGCCTGCGTCACGATTGGAGGCAGCGCCCAGATTCTTGCGAGATCCAAAGTGTTTCGCCGGCACCCCAAACTGTTTCTGCTGATCGGGAAGCCCCGCAGTATGACCAGGTTGTGGCAGTTCCCCTCCAACGTCTAGATCATGAGACGCAGGCAGAAATTCGATGGCATGGTTTTGTTCGCCTTACCAGGGTTTGGCGCGATCGCCTTCCGATCTCTTCGAGGTGTCTTCCTCCATCTTCGTCGTCCTTCTCCTCCTCGCTCATTCTCCCTCCCTCTCCTCGCCCTCCACCTCCCTCCTCCTCCTCCTCCTCCTTCTCCTCCTCCTGCTCCACGGATATCGTTCCCCGATCTTCTTCCTCCTCCTCGCTCCCCCGCCTGAGGGGGGAGTGAGGATGCGTAGCAGGAAAAGGAGGAACAGAAGAGCAACGTGGATCAAGGGCAAAGAGGAGGACAACGAAGCAGAAATAATGAGCGAGGGGCATCCGCATCGGACTTCTGTTCCTCGAGGGAAGAAAATGAAGAGGAGGAGGAGAAGGAGGAGGAGGGGGAGGAGGAAGCGGAGGAGGAGGAGGAGGAGGAGGAGGGGGAGGAGGAAGCGGAGGTGGAGGAGGAGGAGGAGGAGGAGGAGGAGGAGGAGGAGGAGGAGGAAGGAGGAGGAGGAGGAGGAGGAGGAGGAGGAGGAGGAGGAGGAGAGGAGGAGGAGGAAGAGGGAGAGAGGAGGAGGAGGAGGAGGAGGAGGGAGGAGGAGGAGGAGGAGGAGGAGGAGGGAAAAAAGCCGCTGCCTCCCCGGGGCGCGGACCTCCCCGCTCGGCCCTCGACACACGGGCGGGAAGCCCCCGCAATGGGGTGCGACAGGCCAGGCGGGGCGCCCGCCATGGCGCTGGGCAGCCATGCCCGCAGCCTTGGCGCGGAGCCTGGGGAAACCTCCTCCTCCTCCTCCTCCTCCTCCTGCTCCTCCTGCTCCTCCTCCCCTCCCCCTTCTCCTCCTCCCCGTTCTCCCTCCTCCCATGATGATGATGATGATGATGATGATGATGATGATGATGATGATGATGATGATGATGATGATGATGATGATGATGATGATGATGATGATGATGCTGCTGATGCTGATGATGATGCTGTTGATGATGATGATGATGATGGTGATGGTGATGGTGATGGTGATGATGATGATGATGATGATGGTGATGATGATGATGATGGTGATGGTGATGATGATGATGATGATGATGATGATGATGATGATGATGATGATGATGATGATGATGATGATGATAATGATGACCAGCATCAGCAACAGCAGCAGCATCATCAGAATCATCACCACCAGCATCATGTCAGGACCCCTCTTCACTGCTACGCGAGCTGCGCCGCCGACGTCATCCTGAGCTACGAGACTGCCGACAGTGCCCCGCGCTGTCCGAGACAGGCCCACCAGATGCAGCGCGCTCATCGTGGAGGCCCTAGGGAAGAGTGGGTCCATCAGCGCGGGGCCCGTGATCCCAGGGCCACGGCGAAGCGCCGACTCGCCTACGCGGCGCGGAAGGGCAAGGACATCGCCGCGCTCTCGGCCAAAGACCTGGCCATGATCCTGCGCTCCAGGCCTTCAGAGCAACCGAACCTACCAGAAGGGCAGCCAGAACGCCTACACCTACGCCAGCGCCGTACGTTTCGCCGATGCCGCGACCAACGCCGGCACAAATTGCCTTGACAGGCGCTCCCTGAAGTTCGTCCCCACCTGGGACACCCGCCCCGCGCCGCACGGCCGCGAGCTCCTGAAGGAGCTGCGCGGGCAGTCGCGGTGACGGGGCCCATCCCTCGGATGAGGGAGTTGTGCGACAAGGCCGTGCCTGCGTCACGATTGGAGGCAGCGCCCAGATTCTTGCGAGGTCCAAAGTGTTTCGTCGGCACCCCACACTGTTTCTTCTGATCGGGAAGCCCCGGAGTATGAGCAGGTGGTGGCAGTTCCCCTCCAACGTCTAGATCATGAGACGCAGGCAGAAGTTCGATGGCATGGTCTTGTTCGCCTTGCCAGGGCCCTGAACCACGATGGCAAAAAGAGCGGGCCCGCTGCGCGGGCGGCGTGGGGCCCCCTCGCCCGCCCGCCGCCCGCGGCGCGCGCAGCGCTTGCTCCGGCCGCCGCCCCGCTGGCCCACGCAGCCGCTCGCCCGCTCCTGCCTCCTCCTCGCCCTATCCTGCGAGCCGAGGCCGCGGTGCGCCGCCGGCCCCAGTCAGGCGCGGGGGGGAGGGGGGGGGGCGGGGCGCGGGGGGGGGGGGGGGCGCGGTGGGTGGTGGGGAGGGGCTGGTCCAAGCGTAGGGCGCGGGGGGGGGGGGGGGCGCGGGGGGGGGGGCGGAGGGGGGGGGGCGCGGGGAGGGGGCCCGGGGAGGGGTGGGCGTGGTGTGGGGGAGGGGGGGGCTGCGTCCAAGCGCGGGGTCTTCCTTCCAGCCTGCTCAGCCCTCGTCTCAAAGGGTGCCCGCCCCAGGGTGGGGGAGGGGGGCGCGTTCGACGAGCCCTCGGGCCGCCAGCAACGGGCAAGCAGCGGGGAGGGAGGGGGGGTAGCAGGAGGAGGCCGGACTCGGCATTGCAGCAGTCTGCGCGCCGTTCTGCTGATGGGCTCACACCCCGTGAGCCAGGGGCAACGTAACTCTTATTCCGCACGCCATCCCCTCAAAACGAGGAGGGGCACCCAGCCCTGAGCCTGAGCTTGCCATGGGGCACCAGGCCCGCCCGGCACAGACCAGGAGCAGGGGCGGCGGCGGAAAGGCGCAAACATACAAACAAATACGAGGGGGACGGTGAAAGCAGCAGGAGGAGGGAGGAGAAGGAACAGCGACCGCAGCAGCAGCAACAACGACGCCACCGCGCCGAGCGGCGGCGCGCCCCCGTGAGGGGAACGATGATAACGATGTACGTCGGGCTCATGCGGTGGAGCCTCTAACCGCACGGTGGAGCCTCTAGCGAAAGCAGCAGCGTCGCCGTCGGAGTCGGAAGCAGGTACTCAAGCTCGTGCAACTGGTGCTAGTAGCGCACCAATCAAAACGCGCGGCCAAAATCTTGCCTCCAAACGATTCCTTCCCTCAGCTGACGTAGGGAAGGGAAAGGGCCTGGCCGCGCCGATGTTATGTCGGTCGGTCGCGGACCTGGGCCTGGCCAGGAACGATCGTCCAGCAGGGTAGGCGACCAGGGCGGCAGGCAGCGGCCTGAGGCGATAGCCCCAATCAATGGGAGAACCCAATTTCATGCCGCAATCGTCGCTCGACCGCGACCGCGACCGCGACCATAATTCACGCCCGTCAGCGTCAGCTTCACGATAGGTCCCTCCATGGTCGAGCCTGGCGCCCGCGACGGTGCGACGATGGCCCCAGAGTGGAGTCGAAACTGTGTATAGGTGGCGCCGTGGGGCTTGGACCGATCAAACCGTATGTATGCCCTGGCGGAGCGTTGTGCAACAAGATAACAACCAAGATGTCCTGGACGCCGTCGCACGCGGATGGGCTGGGACAGCCGCCTCTGGCCGGGTTGACGTCGCCACACATCTAGCCAGGTTAACGGCACAAATCCATAAGCAAGAGCAGTAACAGTAAGAGACACCACCAGTGGAGGAACGACACCTTGTTTGCAACATGCAGATACCATGGACATTCGTGACACGATCGTCGTAACGGCAGTGCACGGATCGCGAAAACAGTAGAACGCCCAGTTCACCACGCCCGTAGGCGCCGACTGCACCATCTGAGACTTTACCACACGGTGCAAGAACACACATACGCAACAGCCCAAAAACCACGTTGCAAAAACACGCAAGGGCACATGAAGGAGGCATGGAGGAGGAGAGAGGACGGTGTAGTAGCTGGCATGCGGCTCGGTGGCCTACCCGTGTGGCGCCCACGGGAAGACGGGGGCGACCGCTGTTCAAACCCTCTTAGCCGGCAACGACCGCGCCGTGGAAGTCAGCGAATATATAGTGATGACCAGGACGAAGATGATGATGGCATTGAGCCAAACCCAAAACGGCAGCCACGATGGCACCACGAGCAATGACCGTGGCACTATAGTCACTAGAGGTTGAAGCGGAGGTCCTGGGCAGCCCAGGGGGCCACCGCCAAATGCATTGCCGCCCGGGCGGCTTGCAGTCTGGGGGCGGGGGGGGGCGGCCCCAGTCAGGCGCGGGGGGGGGGGGGGGGGCGGGCGCGGTGGGGGGGGGGGGGGGGGGGGCGCGGTGGTGTTGGGGGGGCTGCGTCCAAGCGTAGAGCGCGGGGGGGGGGGGGGGGGGGGGCGGGGAGCGGGGGGGGGGGAGGCGTGGGGGGGGGGGCGCGGGAGGGGGGCCGGGGGGGGTGGGCGTGGTGTGTGGGAGGGGGGGCTGCGTCCAAGCGCGGGGTCTTCCTTCCAGCCTGCTCAGCCCTCTTCTCAAAGGGTGCCCGCCCCAGGGTGGGGGAGGGGGGCGCGTTCGACGAGCCCTCGGGCCGCCAGCAACCGGCCAACAGCGGGGAGGGAGGGGGGGTAGCAGGAGGAGGAAGGGGGGAGGAGGGGCAGCAGGAGGGGCACTCCTCCTCCCATCTCCGAGCGCGCACCCCCCCTCTCGCTTCCCCTTTTTTTACACGCAGGATTCCTGGGAAATGGGTTTTTGCTTGGTTTGTTTCAACATGTTACTCCCGCTGCAGCGCTGGCAACATTTCCGCGCTTCCGCTCGTTCCGAATCGTGCTCCCGCTGCAGCGCTGGCGCCGTTATTTCCAGTGCCATGCCACGGCATGGTTTTCGGTCCGTCCAAACAAGCTCCCAAATCTAGAAAATGCCCCCCCCCCCCCCCCCCTCAAAAAGCCATCGGAAGTGAGTACACATTCGGTGTCGATTCGTTGATTTTTGGGCCGCAGAAGCCCCCCATTTGGGGGGCGTCGCCACGCCATGCTATGTCATGCTACGCCTTGCTCTTCAACACCATGCTATGCCAGATAATGCTATGCCATGCTATGACATCCGATTGTGCGAATAGAGAGGAGATCTACGCCATGGTAAAGAATGGTAGGGAGGGTATGACGTGGGATATGACGCCAGCGCACCTAGCTTGCCCCTCTTCCCCTCCCTCCATCCATCCCTTCCGCCTCCCGCCTCCCTCTTGTTCGCTGTGCCGATTACTCTTATTAGTTGTATTATTATTATTCCTATTCGTCTTCTTCCCGTGCCTCCTCCCCTTCCCCCTCCACTCAAGCACGCGGCCCGGGCACCCGCATTTCGCATGCGCGCTTTGACCTCCCCCGCCCCTGCGCGAGGGGGCTCGAGGGGCATCGCCCCTCCCGTGCCCAGATGCGCAGTCGGTCGCGCTGGCGAAAGCGGGGGCATCAACGGGCGCGAGGGCGCGGTCTACGCGCGCGGGCCGCGGGGGCACCGGTGCAATCGCGCGCCCACTGCCCGCGCGCGCAAGTGCGGGCGCGAGACCTGCCGCCGCCCTGCGGGGCTCCACAAAGCCAGGGGCATGGCCGAGCAGCAGGCAGCAGGCGAGTCGCCGTTGGCGCGACGCCTGGCCCCGCAGCCAGACGCGTCGCCTGACCCGCCCCCGCGCGGAGCGCCGGCCAAGGCCTCGGCGCCCGCGCGGGATCCAGAGGCCAAGGAGGTGCTCGCCGAGCAGGCCGCCGAGGCGGCGCAGGCTTCGAGAGCGGTTCCGACGGCCCTGGGCGCCCGTCAAGAAAGCAGCAGGCGCGCGGAGGGACTCGGGCCCCATGCCCGACCGGGCCGATGCCCAGGTCGCGCGATGCCGCGAGAGCCTCCCCGTGGGCCGAGCCGGAGTAGCAGGAGGTGGCCCAGCGCTTGGCGGAGGCGGAGCTCAGAAGGAGGGCGGCGGCCCAGGCGCTGGCCAAGGCGGCCGCTGGGCCACGGCGCGCAGCCCCCCCGCCGGGGGCAGCGACTTCCG